TCCCATCTATGCCATTACTGCTTTGTGACCTGTTGGGGGTTTTGGGGGGTATTGGGATTGGGTAGTGCAGTTTAAAGGTTTTTTTTGTCATGTTGGGGGATCATGATCCATTGATGCTGTTACTGCCTCGGCTGGCCTGTGCTTTGAAGGGTTAATGGCATTTTGCGTGTCTTGTCACACTGAGATGTCATAATGTCCTACATACATAGGAAGGGGGGTGCTAACTGAGAAAAACTGGGGGGTCCTCCTATATTGTATCTGTTAGATGGATCCCACAGGGGATTGTAACCTTCTCCCGGGAAATAAAGGGGTTCATGTCCTGTTGATATGTCACCATTGCTACTTATGTCACCAGGGCCCCTAATCGGAAAGAACCATCTAGTAGCAGTCTCGGGGCAGATCCGGACCCCCCCCCCCCCTCCTGTGCACATTTGAAGGGTTAAAGCCATTTTGGTGTGCGTCATGCTGATATGTATGTTATTTGTGTTATGTGCAGTAGGGGCTGCAGCCTTCTCGCGGGGATAGGGGGCTCATGCCCATGAATGAAGTATACCCTTGTGCTGTTTCAGGTGTTAATATAATTTTTTGGGGTCCATATGGTGCAGTAAGTCCCATTTGAGGATCTGTAGCATTGATAGCAGGGGGGCCTATACCTGAATGAAGTCCACCTTTGTGATGTTTCGGGTGTTATTAGCATTTTGGGGTTCTTGTGTTGTAGTAAGTCCTGTCTGGAGTTCTTCAGGCTTGTAGCAGGGATGTGGGGGGTCTCTGTCATGAAAGAAGTCCACCCTTGTGATGTTTCAAGGGTTAATAAAAAATTTTTGGGGGGGTCCATATGCTGCAATAAGTGCAATCACGGGCTCTCTAGGCTTGCAGCAAGAATGGGGGTCCTACCCATGAACGACATCCTCGCTTGTGATGTTTCAAGGGTTAAACACAGTTTGGGGGGTCATGCAGCAGTAAGTGCTAATAGGTGTTCTATAAGCCTGTAGCAGGGATGAGGATCCTACCTGTGAATGAAGTCCTCCCTTGTAGTGTTTTCAAGGGTAATAATATTTTTGGGGTTCATATACTACAATGGGTGCCATCAGGGGTTCCCTAGTCTTCTAGCAGGTGTGGGGAAAAGGGGGAGTCCTACCCATTAATGAAGTCCACCCTTGTGATGTTTCAGAGGTTAAAAACATTATTGGGGTTCTTATGCGGTAGTAAGTGTCATTGGGGTTCTCTAGGCTTGTAGCATTGAAGGTGGGGGGGTTCTATCCATCAATGAAGTCCACCCTTGCGGTATTTCAGGGTTTAACATTTTGGGGTTCACATTCTGTAGTAAGTGGGGGTTCTCGTTGATGTATAGTTAGTTCTCTGTGCAGCCTCCCCAGTTATCGGAAGCCAGTAAGGACTGGGTACTTGTCGGGGTTCACATCTCGTTCTTCACATTCATGTGCTGTCACATGATCTCCAGTGTGGAGCAACACTTAAAGGGGTCCCTGCTACACATGGAACCTCTTTGGGCTTCACATTCTTTTTCTATGTACCCTGAAATCAGAAGTCGGTGGGCATCATACAGTCTGCTAGTTTGGGGGGCACCTAAGGAGAACACGTTATCTCCTCTTTTGGGGTTCAAGCCTAAAATACATTTTTGGGTTTATGTCCGTGTGCAAAATGGGGGAGAAGGGTTGCAGTGCGGTGGAGGACCTGCTGCTTCCAAGCTATCTGCAGGCCAGTTGTCATTTTTGAGGGGTTGCCATTTTTGGGGTTCCAGTAGAGTTATAACACATGGGGAAGTGGGGTACCGATAACCTATGGAACCTTGTGTCATTTTAGGGGTTTATGTTGATTTTAGTGGGGATCTTGGGGGATCGGATGAACCCATGGAGCCCCTCATGTAGATGTGATATGACCTATAAGGCTCTTCTAATGGAGCAATGGTGCTAATGGTGTGCGCAGTACAGAGGCCAGGCCCGGGCCAGCTAAACGTTTTGTTACTTCACGACCATGACGGCTCCCCCTACACTATACAATCTGATTGTACAGTCGCCTCTAGATTTGTGAAAACTATGTAGTACAACAGGGGTAGGCAACCTTGGCACTACAAATCTCATCATGCTTCTGCATCTGGTAGTCATGCCTGCAACCGTCATAGCCTCATGGGACTTGTAGTTCCCTAACAGCTGACGTGCCAAGGTTTCCTACTAATCAATCTGATCCATTTGTATTGTCAAGTAGGCACTTGCACAGTGGATGGCGGATCTCAAGCAGAGCGTACAATCAGATTGTATAGTGTATGGTTATGGTCAGCCTTTTCTTTGGACAGTATGGGTTACACCTGGTGACCCCTCAGCAGTAACAAATCTTTCTTCCTTGATCACCGCAGCAAATAGTCTTATCACGCTCCAGATTTATTGACGGCAGCCCAAGCTGTTTCTCGAAGCGCTGATGATGTTGTCGGCACATCAGACCGTCTCCTGTCGAGATGCCCCTCGCTGACCCTCCCTTCAATCCCCCTATCTTAATCCTCCTCTGCTAATGCTCCTTCTTCCAGTGATCTGGAGGATTTGCAGTCCGAAGGGCCAATCTCGCGCTCCTCGTTCCCTGGAAACAAAGACGCGTTTTGCAAAACCGACGGGATGTTGTAAAAAAAAGGGGGGGACACCAGAAAAAATAATGGCGGTACAGGTTCGATTTGCCATGGCCCCGAGGTGCTTTGCGCCCAACCGCCCCCTCGTCTTTTGTAGTAATCCTTAATCTCAGGACGCGAGCCGCGTCTCGGAACAGGCTTGTAACACTGACAGGTGAAGGGGTTAAGCCGTGTCTGGGAACACACGAGCACGCCCTACTTCCATATATGTGTCTATCCCAAATTTAGCTGAAGTAACTGTTGGCAAGCGCGGTGGAGTCTGGCTCCCGCCTGGAACATACCTCCCTTTCGTGACCCTTTGATCGCTTTCCTTTTACTTAAACCTCCTAAATAAGATTTCGGTTTCCGTGGAAACCGGGCCCGTTTTCCGCCGAGATCAGGCGAGCCTGGTTGCTCCTCGTTGCTTATGCACCTGTTTGTCGTCGGGGATCCTGGCACCCTTTTATACCACCCATCTTGGAGGCCTGTCATGGCCGATAAATGTCTGTCAGACTGTTTTTTTTCTTTTTTTTTAAGTGCACGTGTCTGCTTTTGTTGTCTTTAATGTGTCAGACATGACCGTCTTCCGCAGCTGAATGTTAGGCCCTGTCATGTGCAGTCTGATGTCGGTGACTCACGGTACGGACTGGAGTAACTGACTAAGTATTCGCTCATTGCCTGCTTTACCACAAATACATAATGGGGACGGGGCGATGAAGCATTTGCAACACCTTTTCTGGCCTTCAAAAGGCCTGCATCTAATTCATATAAGCCTTGCGACCGTTTTGTCACGCGCTCCGGTGCGTGCAACAGATTCAGGTAGTTGCTATCTGTGACTAGTTCAAACTATGCAGTGGCAGCTTCCCTCGAAGAGATAGTTGGTTGCTAGGATGCTGGTGTGCCATGGCTTCCTAGCAACCAGTGACACATCCCTGGAGATTACCTGGCCTACAGACAAAGGGGTCGAGGATGCTGGCTGACGTCATTAAACAAATATTGCGATGTTTACATTCAGCTCTCGGTGGAGGAATCTCCCAGGCGGCAGCCGAATGGTGCTGTGGATGCGTCAATGATTGCTAGGACACTGTTGTCTGCACAGCAGACAGCATCCTAGCAACTAGTGATGCTGTGCAGCTGACAGTGTCCTAGCAACCTATGATGATGTGAGTCCAA